ATGAATACAAACACAGTATTTTCAAATTTAAAATATATATGGATAGAGAAGATCAATACAAATTTTACAAGACTGTTTGCGGAAAGATAAGGTAATGAAAACCTATCTAAACAATCTTTGGTTACACAGAGAGCTTTAGCAAATACAAGAAAAGAGATTACTAAAAGGAGAATCTTTTACTTAAGCTAGAAGATGCTTGAAGTAAGAATAAGGTTAGAGAGAGAAGCGCGCTCTCTACATGGAGAAGAAACACTTCTATTTATACCCAGTGCATTAAATGATCATTTAATGCAATATGGTAGGTTTAGAGTGCATGTCAAGTCTTAAGAGGAAGGTTTGTCCTTTGCTACAGTGAATAGTACAAAAGCACTATTTCTGAGCTGACATCCTTGCTTAAAGTTGGTGGACAAAGAGTCGACTAATCGGCTCCGTACTGTACTAACTTTTGTAAGGGTATGAATTTGTCCTTTGTGTGCATAAGGACAAAACAACAACAATCGTGCTAAGCAAGCTTCCTTTGATCGCTGAATGCTGGAATGACCTGGAGGTCTCATCATCATTCGTTGAAGCTAGAGCAGTCTTCACACATATGTAGACAGGCTTGTAATCACTGAATACCGCTTCAGTTCACGTACTCGTCAGTCTCTAATCTTCAGTTTCAGTCTTCGACATTTGCTGATGGATCTTTGGTGTGAGTGTTGTCTTCTTGAAGTATTGTTGTCTCTGATTTACAATGCAAGTTCTTCAGCGATCACTGAACATACTCAGTGATGATCGTTGGAACTGAAAATACAGAAACACAAATACAACGTGAAAGGAAAAAGGGATTATCATCAAATCACTTAGAGAGAGGATCAACAAATGTCCTATTAATTTCTAAAATAATATGACACTTTAAAAGGTCCTATTAGTCTATAAAATAATACGAGACTTAAAAGTGTCCTATTAGACCATAAAATAATATGACATTCAAAAGTGTTGTATTAGATTACATGATAGGACGTCAAGATATGTAAATAAGACATCAAAATTAAGAGTCATATAAGATTAAATCAAATAGGACTCATAAACTAATGCGTCGTATTAGCCTTTTTAAAGGAAGGTTTCCGAAAAGTGTCTCAAAAAAGTGTCCTATAATCCTCTTTTTGTTGTTAATGTGTACAGATGAGCTGAAAGGTAAAAGTGTTTGATCTAGCAAGGCTTTCCTTTGTCATTATGCAATTTCCTCATGGATTTTCGGGCTCAAAGGTCCAGTCTTAAGTTTTAACATCCGAAATCAATGTAGTCATGTCTTAAAGTTTCCTTCTAATACAGTCTGTTAAAAAGAACTGTTAAATTTGCCTTATGGATAGGTGTGTTACTTGTATGCCACATTATAAAAACAGGTGGTCTTGATTTGAGTATCACACAAATTCTTTATTGTATCGTTCTTGTTTAAGATTAATCCCTAACCCAAGTTAAAGATCATAGCAGAAAGTAACTTAGTCGAGTAACCCATCTTGCATTGCGAGAAGTAGACCTCTAAAGAACTACAGAATGCACACCATACCTTAGAAGTATCAAGGGGTCATTTAGTTAAATGACTTCCCGTATAAGTCACTTTTTACAAACTAACCTTCTGCTTTTTCAATATTTTACAAGGGCATGGTGTTTTACATTAAAGGTTTAGCACAAAAAGGTAGATCATTTGAAGGTTGCCGAGTTAAACTTTTTCCGTGATCACGCTCCTAATTAAAAAATAGGTCAGTCGACTAAATAGCCAAGTATTATGAAGCATGTTGAGGGCATTTGACTAAAAGTTTATGTCGTGATCTTAGATCTTTTAGGTGGCTATAGTCTCATGGTCAGTTTAAGGAGCTAGACCTTATCTTGATGCAATTCAAAATAACCACCACGAATTCTGAACTCTTGGCATGCCAGTATAGAAACAACCCTAATTCTTCTCTTCGATCTTTAGCCTGACCACTAACTTCTGTTGAATTTTCTTCCCAATTCTTCATTCTAGCCTCATGTGATGAACTTGAAGCCTCCATATGAAATTCTTTTTTTTGCCTTCTGATATCAGATTGTTGACTTGAAACTTTAATGTTTTTGGTGTTGGTGATATTGGTATCTAAATTTAGTTGTGATTTCACTCTAGCGTCTTTTAATGTAGTCAACTTGTCCATTCTCTCAAGTTTTTCTTCTCTTCGATCTTCAATCTGACCACTAACTTATGTTACATTTTCCTCCTTGTTTTGAAGATCATAGAAGTAAGTTCAAGTGGGATGGTGTAGACTAAAAACATTAATAGACGACATCTACTAAATCAAGTGGTGAGTGGAATGTTCTAATAACATAATGATTTGATATTTGTAGAGTTTACTTATGTTACTCTACTGCACAAATTTTTAATTGCTACTTTCTGTTTCAATCTAGCACTTTATGACGAGCCCATGTGACTTCTCATAAATCCCTGATGTTCCAGTTGCCTTCATAAGCACATGCATGCTCATCTTAATTGCATTTTTTTTCCTTTTTAATGTTTGTAGTTCTCCTGTTGATACGTTCATAACAACTGAGTTGAGATTATCGGGGTTACTTTATTTTCATTGCCACTTCTTAAATGAGGTTTTTCATAGCAGGTCTTCGCCCTAGAGACATTCAGATTGTTGATCATGCACTGTGGTTGACCAACACAGTGCCCTCATTGCCGGTATGGCACCAAGTCAAGTTATTGTTTATGGTGTTTTAGTTCATGCTTATGAAATTCGAAAATCTTGAAGTCACTTCCTTGGCATTGATCTCCACTCCAAGATGTTCTATAGATTGTTGTATCTTGTAATTTGGTGATATGTTTGTTTTGTTGGTTGCATGCTTTGGGGGCATATAAATATATTTAAGGACAAACAAAGACGACATGTATCATCCTTTGAGGAGTTTATGTTTTATTTGTAAATCATTTAAAATTACGAGATGGGAGGATACCATCATAACTATTGCTTACACTTTATCTTCATCATTAAAGGCATCATCAGGTGTGCCACAACCAACATGGCCCGAAGGCATCTTGTCATATTCAATTTCAAGTGAGGTTGTTGTTAATGATGAAGACCGTGATGAAGGTGATATTACTGTTGGTGATGAAGAACATTATGAAAGGGATGATGTTGTTAGACCTTAAGAAAGGTTACAAGAAAGTCAAATAGTTGTATCTCCACCAGAAATTAATAATGCAAATGAAGAATTGTTTATGCCACGACCTTAACATAGATTAAGTGTTACTTTGGTATATTTTAGCACAACTTAAGTTATATCTTGGCAAAATTGTTGGTATTTTTAGCGCAACTTTTGGTATATTTTGGGTGATTGTTGGTATTTTTAGGTGCAACTGTTGGTATATATTTTGGTTCAACTTTTGGTAAAATGCTCAAATTTTGTATATATAGATTATTTATGCTTTGGATACAGCTTTTATATCTTTTGAGAAGAATAATGAGAATGGTATTTGTTTCATTTTACAAATTAAAGTACTTTTTTTGTTCAAAAATTGTTTCAAGACTAAATCATTCAAAGTATAAAAGTTTATTGGTTTTTTATCAGACTTTTTCCATTATTTTATCATATTAACCAGTTTTATAGATTATAAGGATGTATCTAACAGATTTTAGAAAGTTTAAGAAGTTATTTAACAAGTTTTGAAATGTCAAAGAACTTACTTATTCCAAAAAATTATATAACAACTTAATTATTCCAAATACTAAAAATCCATTCGGTTTTTTTTAACTTGGAATAAATAAACATTTTCTTTGTAAAAGTGCAAGACATATGGAATTCAAAAAATAGACAAAGGCCGGTTAAAACATGTAACCGATAATTTATTTAAATGTTTAGTTAAATTTTTTAAAATATATTTCTGGCAAATAAAGATGAAGATCCAGAAGGATGGTGTTTGGTTCTTTGTTTCGGATGATTATGCAGAAAAGCAATATCTTGATCAAATCACTCTCCAATAACACAACAAAGACGACTCAAAATTGGCGAACCCAAATCAAACACACCCATTTAATCTCTGAGATCTCGTCAATTCTTTTACAAAGACACAATTGGCCTTCTCTTCTGCAAACCCTAAATCTCAAGTCCAAATTAACCCCATCTCTCTTCCTCCAAATCCTCAACACTACAAAAACCCAACCTCAAATCTCCCTAGATTTCTTCAAATGGGCCATCAGGAACACTTGTTTTCAACCAGACCTCTCCGTTCAGTGCAGAATGACCCATCTCTTAATTGGCTCCGGTTTGGTTAATCCTTCAAAGCCCATTTTAAATTCACTGCTTCAAAACAACCCACCTGCTCAAATTGTTCAATCTCTGTTCAAATCAGTTGAAAAAGATGCAGTCTTTTCTAGTTCAAAATCTTTAGTGGTATTAGATTCTGTTCTTCGTTGGTATTGTGAAAAGAGGCTGTGTTTCCAAGCTCTGGAGGCTTTTAATCTAGCCAGACATCTTGTCAAGACTGAATATTCAGATGGTAATGAACTGTTTTCGATTGGACTTTATAATACAGTGCTTAATGCGTTACAGGAAAACAATGAGGTTAAGCTGGGTTTGTGTTTCTATGCTGTCATGATTCGACATGGGGTTTTGATTGATCGGTTTACATGGCGTATAGTTGCAAAGATTTTCAGCAAAGAGGGAAAAGTTGATGCGATACTTAGAATTATCGATATGGGTATGGATGATCCGTTGATATATGATTCATTGATTGAATGTTGCAGTGAAATAGGAATGTTCAAAGTTGCATTACACATGCTCGATGAAATGTCCAAGAGAAAACTCAATCCGGGATTCAGTACTTGTGTTTCGATTCTAAATGGTGCTTGTAGATATAAGAATGATGAAGTGATCAAATTTGCAATGGAATCAATGGCAGAAAAAGGGTACGTTTCAAAACCTTTAAGGGAACATAATTCACTCATTCGAAAGCTTTGTGAAATGAAAAAGGCTTATGCGGCTGATATGTTGTTCAAGAAAGCCTGTGTTATGCAAATCTCATTAAAAACCGAGACTTATGGCTTCATGCTACGAGCCTTATCTATGGAGGGTCGAGTAAAGAAATCAATAGAAACTTATCAGATAATTGAACATAAAGGAGTTCAAATGAACCCCATCTTTTATCTCGACTTTATTAACATTCTCTGCAACGAAGATCCATCAAAAGATCTTAATTCATTACTGATAGATATGATCTCAAGAGGATTTAAACCGTCCCCATCGGCATTATCGAAATACATAACCTCTCAATGCAAGAAACACAGATGGAAAGAAGCAGAAGAGCTTGCGGATTTGGCTCTTCAAAAATCGATCTTGCTTGAAGCTTCTTGTTGTGGTTCTTTAGTTAAGCATTACTGTAAGAGGGCACGGATCGATTTAGCCATCAATCTGCATGATCAAATAGCGAAAAAGGAGTTAACTTTGGATTCAAGAACTTACAATGCTCTTTTAAGTGGACTTCTGGAGGTGCCAAGAGTTGAAGAAGCAGAACGAATCTTTGATTACATGAGAATCAAGAACCTGCTTTCAAGCGAAAGTTATGTAATCATGATTAATGGATTTTCTCGTGAAAACGAGCTGAAAAAAGCCATGAAATTGCATGACGAAATGCTGGAATTGGGACTTAAACCTATCGCAAAAACGTATAAACGATTGATTAGTAATTTTGGGTAGAAATTTTGTGATTATTGTATGATTCTTGAATCATTGCCCATTTGTAACTGTGATGTTTCTTTCTTTAATAGAATACTTTGAATGAGATTTTGCTGTGTTTTGTAGATGATGTTCAGGGTTCTTTTTCAATCTTCCAGATCTCTTCAAAAATGATTATTATGATAGAGAAATATCTTTTTTTATATCGTCATCGATAAGAAACCTTGAAATTAAATATTTAGGAAAGAGGAATAATATTTTGTTAAATGTATGCAATATTTTTTAATAATATAATTAATGTTGTAATCTTTAAAATTAAGAAATTGTTGAAGTTAATTATAATTTTTATTTGAAGTTTTTTTTAGAAAATCTGTTGGATAAGCTCTCATCGTGCTCTAATATGTCTTCTTCCCTAAGCACCTGATGATATATGTTTGTGGTTGTGTGTGTTTTGTAGGTAAAAGAACTCTGAAAAAGCTTATTTTGTGTTAGTAAGGGGCCGTTTACCAAACGCTTACCCGGGTGAGCACTTACCAAGTAACATTACCTCATCGGATGAATATTAAGGACCAAGAATCTTACCCGGTAAGAGCGAGACAAGGATGTAACACCCCATATCACACATTGCATGAAACATATACTTCACACGAAAGAAATACATGTTTATACACCACTTAGGTCCCACAGTACAAGAATCTACCAGTATAAAATACATGGCTCAAAATTCAAAATACATTTCTTGTACTAATCATCGTTCATCAATCAAAACTATACATCATAACAATTCCTCATGTAGATAAGCATTTAGGAAAATATCACATTTTCCCCTTCCTCTTACCGTCCGCACCTCCTGCAATACATAGTTAAAATCACAAAACGAGGGTTAGACCGAAAGGTCTAGTGAGTTACCCTATTTAAGTTATTGCAGGGTGATAATCACCAAAACTTTTTAAAAAACAACTTTTCACTTATATAATCAACATATGAACAAATGGGGCATATTACCAGTTCCTTCCCATTTTCAAGCCAAACATTCAGCTATTCAAATAACATACATTTGAATCAATCAGGTTTCATATAATGCCACTTTTAAACCTTTTTTCTAATCAAACAAGGTTTATTTAAAGTTTCAGGCCAAACCTGTTATTTTCTCATCAATAACATCCAGACTACGATTTCCAATAAGAACTTTGATCCTGAATCTTTAAATCACAACGAAATAAAGATTCCAAACCACGGTAATCTTAAGAGATATAATAGAAAAAGTTATATCATTCAACACACATACAAATGTCACCCTTATATCAAATGTACACCTCTCCTTGATATGTCACCCTTATCCCATGGTACACCTCTCCTTGAATGCCACCCTTATCCCATGGTACACCTTTCCTTGATATGTCACCCTTATTTCCTCATCAAAACATTCCAAATAGACCGCAGTCAATGGAATTATTATCAATCCAAAATCATTTATATCAAGTTTTTCATTTTATGATAAAATAACAATTTTTATCAATCAAGCACAAGGCATAGTACAAATCCGGTCAACTTG